TGCTATGATTTTTTTGAGAATTGTAAATCTTTAAACAAGAAGTTAATAGAGTTTCAGTATTGCTAAAATATGTTAAGCAGTTGGATAGACATATTTGAATTTGAGGTCTTTTGCAATTTTAAATATATATAGAATTCAGTTATCTTGATTAAATTCTTCAGAATTGCAAATTAGATAGAACCAGATTGATTTATTTTTTGAATTAATTGCAAATCTTGAAATATATATTTTTTTGTTGCTGGCATAAAGAATTTAGATATTAAATTGTTAATTAGAGATGATTTTTGCCTTTCTTTAAGGAGAGCAATATTGAGATCACTATTACTAATAAAGATTGTATTTGAACATATGAATGTTATTCTGAAGGCTTATTTGATAAGTTTGTTAATCTTGGTTTGAAGTAGATTAAATATAAATTTGTTAAGATAGAATAGAAAGAGAAAATACTCAAACTTGTTTATGATTATCTATTTACAGATCTGTTATTTAATTTTATCTTTTCAATTCTGTTTAAATAGTTCTTTTACAATTGTGTTAACAGTTTGATTAAGAACTTTTTTGTTAATTTGAATAGCTTTCTAGAAGAAATAAGTATGCTTAAATACTTTACACTTTCATAGAATTTGAATAAGTTATTAAGTTCATGTTTGATTTTGATATTGATAATTACTTTGGTTTTGTCTTTGTTACATATAATATTGTTTATTAAAAAGAATTAACTAATTGTTAAGAGAAGATTTTTATTGATTGTTTGCTAATAATAATAAAAATCAGATTATCTATATATGCCAGAACATTTAAGGCAATATAGCTTTGGATAGGTTTATAACAGGCTAGTCTGGAGATAAGAGAATCATAAAATATTACTCAGATAATAGGAGATAGTATCTTACTTTGTTTTACTTCATTGTTTACTGTAAAAGATTTAGTGGCTTCAAATAGTATGTTAATAGAAACTTACTTTTGTTAAGAAAATTGATAAGTAGGTTGGTAATAGCTGCAAAGCAGTTAATTCTTTCAAATAATTTTTTGATGGCTGATATAGAAGCTAAGTTAAAGGCTTTTACAATATTCAGTAATATAAACCAGAATTCTTTGTTATTTATATTAATTATATTTAGTGCAGAATAAATTATTGTTAAAAATTCTATAGTACTTTGACTAGAAAGACCAACAAAGTTAAGTTCTAATAGAATACTGTATTATTTGATTTGAAAGTTTTGATTAATCTTTTATTAACTATGCTAGTAAATACTTTCTTGACTAAGTCAATAAGAAATATGAATCTTGTGTCATTAAGCTTGTAACTCCAAATAAGCTTTTTGAAGATAAGAGTAATAATTATTTGGTTTTATAATTCAGGGATAAATAAGGAGAGTATAATTTAATTGAAGATAAGCAATATGTAAAAAATATTTTTCTTGTCTATTAGTTTGATAATGTCATAATTAACTCCTGCTTTTTAAAAAGTTTTGTTTTTGAATAACTTGTTAATAGCTTTTTGGACTATTATTTGATTAAATAGTTAGATGACTACATTATATATTTCTTGATTGGCTAATTTGACAGAATATTCTTTATATCAGTTTGGAAATTGATTTAGGCTAAAGCTCCTGCTTTAAAAAATGTTTTGGAAATACTTATTGATAATATCTTAAATAAGATCCAAATTTTTTTTTATTTTATTTATTATTATAGATTTTGTAGAGATTTAGTTTGAACTTAATTAAGTGTTTTGAGATATAGTTTTTGGATTTACTATAGAAGTTTTCAACTATATTTTCAAAGTTTAATTAGTATTTTTCTAATAGTTCTTGTTGAAATTGTTATAGAGCTTTCCTAATTAGAAATTTGAGTTTCTGAAAACCTTTTACTAACAGATTGCTATAACCATTGAAGATTTTATATAAAATATATAGCTCTTAAATAAGAGGCAAGTGTTTAATAGTTTTTGAGATATATTATGATTTTTTAATTCTCTTGATTTGTTTTTTGAGATTTTTTTCAGCATTGATATAATGATTTTTTTAAGTTGGACTTGTTTTGATTTTTTTAATGAACTGGTCTAGAATGTTCTTACAGATATTATTGAATTCTTTTCAATTTGATAATAAGAGAACATCAGTCTGTGAATTTAGTTCTTTTGTAAATTCTATTATATTTTCTTTGAAATTTTTTAGAAAATATGTTTGATTTTTCTAAATTTAAAATATTAAGTTTAATTGAGATTGAATAATAATCTATAGAAATTAGGCTACAGTTTTCTACTTCATATCAGATTACTTTAGTAATAAGATTCTAAAACCTTATGCTTGATCAATACAAGAGATGCTGATAGTAGTTATGTAAGTAAATATATTTTTATTGAATTGTTGGCCAATATTTAAGTAGTTGTTGAAATGTTTATATATTGATTGTTTGAGTATTGGAGTTAAAGAATTGATAGATTGACTATTTTTGAGATATAAGTTAGTCTTTTATTATTATATGATAGAGTTTATAATTAATAGCTAATTTTATTACTTAGTAAATTTGTTTTGTAATAGTTTTTTTTTTATTATTATAAGGAATATATATAGTCAAAAGAAAAATATTTATTTTTTTTTGAATTTTATAATAATGAATAAACAGTATTCTAAGATATTACAAATCTTGAATATATGAAGAATAAGGTTTTTTCTAATAATTAGTAAGGTACAACTCTTTGATATGTTAAAGAATTCACTATAAATTAGATTTCTGTTATTGATGTTTTTAAAATAATAATCTCTTTTCTTGTGTTTGGTTTTTATGCATAGTATAATTGATCTTTTGTTTATAATATTTATAAGAGCTCTTAACTTTAGAAGATTATTAAGACCTATTGTATTAATAGTAATAAAAATAATAAGATTTTTGATATTATTCTGATTTGTAATAGATTCTAGTTTATTGAAGAGATTGAAAATGAAGTAGTAAAATATGAAGTAAATAAGTTAAGGTAGAATATTATAAAATAATTAAAGTTGTAAGTAGTATTGATATTGGAATTGTTGTTTATAATTATAGATATTTTTTATAAAAAAAAAAAGTAAGAGCAAACTTCAGTCTAGAAATATTTTTTTGATAATTAGAAATTCAGAAAATTTGTTAAAAAGAAAGACTTAATATAAATTTATAATATTGATTGATGTGACAAACCAAACATTACAACCAGAGACAAATCCAATTATACCCATGGCCAATTACACTATATTCAAACTTTCTATTGCAATATCTTTTTTGCTAACCATCCAAATCACTCAATATGTCACACCAATTATACTGATAGTCATAACACTCAATAATACACTATCTATTATCTCCTAAATATAGTTTTAATAAAGAGAAGCAAGTAGCAAGTATTAATTGTATATCTAGATCCTTAAGACAAAATCATTATCACCAATTCTTTCAACACCTCTATCATTTCATATTTGTCAAACCATTCATCTGGATAGCTTATACCAATTTCCAACCTAATCAAAAAGATAAAAAATTTCTCTATTATTCAAATTGAATTCTTCTTCAGTCAAGATAAGAAGAGTTTTTTTATTCAGGTATCAGTTCATAAAGAAAAACTAATCAGATATCTTGAAAAATTCATGAAAACATCAAAACTTATTTCAATCAATTTTCAAGAAATATGTTAATCTTAAAAACTCTATCTTCCAGATGGTTCTAAAAAAAGATGAATTATTCTAAGCATATTTTATGAAACAGAATTAAATTATTAGAAACACCTTGAAAGACAAAAAAACTTATACTCTTAAAAATACTTATTATTTTAACTTTCTATTCACATATCACATATCCATATTCACAACCATCCTATCAGAAAATCTTTCAACAAAAAGTCTAATTATAGAACTACAAATCAAAAGTCCTAATTAACAGAACATAAACAAACCAATCAAAAAATTCTTAATAGCTAATCAAATTTCAGCATGATTTTAAATAAATTTCTTCTATTGGCTATTTATATAAATAAAAACCAGCTTACAATTGTTCATAAAACTCTCTTAACAGAAATCCCTAGTAATCAAATTGTATTAATTATCAATTTAAACTTCTTTATACCTGATAACATAAAAATAAGCAATACTGACAACACATATTAGTATCAAGAGAAAAAAAGTATTCCTGTTCTAAGTTAGCTAGAGAATCTAATCAACTTCTTCAACATCATAGTCACAACTACCCCATGCTTTAGCACAAACTTTATCTTAAAACCCATATTCCTAATTTTATTAATGACAGCCAAACAATCAAACATTACCAAAAATCCTATAATCAGAAACAAATATAACAAAAAAATATTATATAAAGAGAGAATAGAGATAGCAAGAGCCAAACTACTCAGATATGAAGAAGACCAATTATTTTTGTTTACAGATATTGAAGAATATAATATCTCAAACATTAATTTAAATAAAATAGATAGCCTTATCTTGTCAAACTTTGCCAGTAAGCATGATACAATTATTTGCTAGGCTTTCAAACTCTCTTCTTTCAGAAACAACTTCAAGGAACTAATCAAATTAATTCTTGATATAGCCAATACTCCCAAAGAACCTGTTAGACAAAAATCTTGTTTAGAAATTTTTATCAAGATAGAAGTTAGAGACAGAAGCTTCTTCACTTTTAACAAAACTGAAAATTTCAAAAGTGTTTATCAAAGGAAATATAAAGCTTTAGAATTTAGTTTGGATCTGGTGGCATTAGCCCAGATCCAAGTCACTTTTTGGGAGATTTGGTGGCAGAGCCAGCCAAATCGATTCAGTATTACCATGTAATGGTTAAAAAAGTGACAAACCCGAGACAGAATGTAGATCCTTTATGGAAAGAATCGGAAGCAATCGTAAAAAAAAAAATCGAAATTCTAAAATAGTGCCGATCTTTGAGACACCGGGTGCCCCACAGGGTCGAATTATGAAGTTTTGACCAAAAGCGATCTACATTTTGTCTCAAAGATCGGCACACTATGTTTCTACAGGGCCGATGTTGATCACTACAGGGCCGATGCCGATCACCGGACGTGTCGATCTTTGAGACAAAATGGCGATCTTTGAGACAAAATGTAGATCACTTTTTGGCCCTGTAGCCGTAATTTTGACCAAGCGAAAATTTGTAAATTTTTGTAATTCTGGCTGGGAAAAGTACCGGTTCCTCTACAGGGCCAACGATCAAGGGATCTACATTTTGTCTCAAAGATCGCCATTTTGTCTCAAAGATCGTCAACATATTCTTCGGGGAATTTCGGAATCGTAATTTTGGCTGAGGATGAAATTTTGGGTGGTATACAGGGCCGAGATTGCGAATTTTTCGAGATAAAATATGTAGTGAGTTTTCCGAAAATCATCTATCTTAAACACTCGATATCTTCGTGAGGATTCATTCGAATTTCGCGGGGTGATCATCTTTAGGTGCGTCGCGATCTTGGCTTTCAGGAAATATATGGTTTGTCATAATGGAAGGTGCCTCGTTCGATCGGAATGGATGAAAGAGTGAACGAAGATTGAGAAAAGGTGACGTTTTCGTCGCGATCAAGTTTGAGTGACCCACACGATCTCGATGAATTTGGAGTCAATCATTTGCGGACAACTATCTTCGGAAAGCTTGAGACCTCGAGAATTTTTTTGTCAACATGAAGCTTAGGGTGAAAATCGATATCCGTGAAGATATTCGATGGTTTATGAATTTCTCTTGATTCTTGAAAGTGATCGTCCTACGAGGTGGGGGTTCAATTCGATCGAGAACCATCCAAATCGAGTGAAATTTTTTTTGTTTGGTTGATCGAGACTTCTAGTTTTTTTCTCTCAACATGAAGCTTAGTGCGAAAATGCTTCCTGGACGAGTGGGGCGAGATATTGAAGGTTGATCATGATGTGAATCACATGAACAAGATGAAAATGAGCGTGATGGAATATGGGAGGTGATTATTTTCGAATGAAATTTGAGTATTCTCACCTCTTTTAGATCGAGGTATGTGATCCACACCATCTTTGAAAATTTTATCCATTTTTGTGATGTTTTGGGATTTATACCTATGAAGGATTAGTTTTGATTATAGGGAGATCATATTTGAATGAATAAAGATCATTTTATATCTCGATGGGGAATGATTTTTGTTATGATATATAATTGTGGGAAAAAATTCAGGTGTTGAGAGCTTTTTGATGACATTTTATTTATTTGATTCGGGTGGATATTCACAGAGTTAACATATGACATGATGTAATTTAATTATATATAAATTTTATATAAATAGCATGGTTACATGTTTTGTTTCCTCAGTTGGTATGATTTTCCAATTAAAACATAAATAAATATACTTGAGATTGAATTCATAGGCAAGATGCCAAAAATTTCAATTAAACTCTCGAAGAAAAATTATAAGTATGTATATAATTTATTCGACAATTTAATATTTGATGATTTAATATTTATTTTAGTTTAAGATTTATTAAAAAATTAGTGATGGATAACAATAAGGAAGTTGAAGAGGCTCAACAATTGATTAATTCCATCCATGAGAAAGTGTGTCAAGATTATCTGAAAACTTTTAAAATAATGAAAAATGGTACAATAAAGGCGAATAATGAGAATGTGCAAAGGGTTCAAATTTTTTTGAATAAATGGAGATCTTTATTACGTGGAGAAGGATATGATATTGGAGATGTTGATCTTAAAATGATGGGTCAAGGTGAAGTTGGTGAAGTTAATCATAACAAACATGAAATGATTCGGTTATACGGTGTTGCCAATCAACTTTATTTAAAGTCATGTAGAATTCTCAAATGTCAACCGGATAATAATTATATTAATATTATTATAGTAGATGATAAAAAATAAAATTCTTGATTTGGGTGACCCATTTTAACTCTGTAATTAACAATGTATAAGTGAAATTTTTTTTTTTTTTTGTTTGGTTGATCGAGACTTCTAGTTTTTTTCTCTCAACATGAAGCTTAGTGCAAAAATGCTTTCCGGATGAGTGGGGCGAGATATTGAAGGTTGATCATGATGTGAATCACATGAACAAGATGAAAATGAGCTTGATGGAATATGGGAGGTGATTATTTTCGAATGAGATTTGAGTATTCTCATCTCTTTTAGGTTGATGTATGTGATCCACACCATCTGTGAAAATTTTATCCATTTTGTGATCTTTTGAAATTTATACTTATGAAGGATTGGTTTCGATCATAGGAAGATCATATTTAAATGTTGTTTTTTATATTTTATTTTCCAATTTTGATCATGTGAGTCTATCTTAGCATATATGTTTAAAATTTTTGAAAAAAAGATTTTCATTTTACTAATTTTTACCGTCAATGCTCTTTCAGAATGCAAAGATCAGAGTCTAATGTTATTGATGATGGCGTTGATGGACAAAATATCTATGATGATCAACGTGATAATACTCGTGATATTCCTCGTGGTTCACTTATTCGTCAGATTCTTGGTTAAGTATAAATATACCGTATAAATATACCTTAAGTTATAAAGAATCAACCAAATTTCGAAATGTCAGTTTTAGTAAATTTTTTATTTTTTTTTTTAATTTTATTTAGTCTCTGGCTATTAATTACTCATTGTATAATACTTATTAAATTATTATTAATGATAATTAATGGTGGTAATAATTATTAAGAATGACACATGGTGTTAATTTTCGCATTTTCTTTCGATCATAATACCTCATTTATTTCTTGTGATACCATGGAGAAAATTTATAAATACATCTCCATAAATTGATAGGGAGTAAAAATGCCAAAATCTAAAAAAGATAAAATATCCTCTCGTAGGAAGGAATTCGTCAAATTCGAAAATAAAAATTACTTTTGTGGCAAATGTCGTGTAGTTTGTCATGAAGTAATTTGTTTCTCATGTGGTAATACCAATGATGTTCTTAGTCATAAATTTTTGGGTGGTGTATTTCCGATTGATATATGGTACTGCTTTTTTGATCTCATTTCTGAACGTGATAAGTTTTGTATTCGAGCTGTAAATTCCTTTTTTCTTTCTATCTATAAACGTTATTTTGAGATTATGTTAAATTCCCGGAAAATGGTTTTCTATAGATGGGTTAAAATTGGGAAGATTGAGGTTTATCGATATAAAAGATTTTGTTTTAAGGGTAATAATACATATGTTTATTTCGAGAAGGATAGTGGGGAGGTGAGGAGGAGGTTGATGTATAGATATGGGAGGGGTTATACGGCGCGGTGTCTAGAAGGTTCTAAACAGTTTATGTTTCTTCGAGATGGGGATGTTGTTGATAATTTGAGAAAGAAGAGTTGTCATATTTGTGGGGTTTACAAATATGTTAAATGTCTTATTGCAAAAGATGATTGTATTAACTGTCTTTTTAAAGGAAGGGTACATTTTCATTATGTTTGTTATTCTTGTGATAATCCTTTGGTTATCAAGGGAATAAGGATTCCTTTATGATTTTTTTCTCGAAACTAAACCATTTCTAATCACATTTCTGATATCACATCGAGTTAGAAATTATGTAGATTATTTCTAACATTTCAAATTTAATTTTATAATTTATATAAATAAAATATTAATAAATAAAATATCATTGATTATTACGAAATGTCTTATTTTTTTAATAATGATTTATTGATTTCATTGATCAATATGACCCCGTTGGGAATTCATTTCTGTAGATGGTTTTGTGTAATAAATGATTATCTTGTCATTGATGATCGATTTGAGATTTATAAAAGGGCGTATTATTTCTCTTCCTAGTTTCAAAATCGTGAATATTAATATAATGTAAGTTTTTTGATGGTTTTGAAATTATAATTTTAATTTATTTTAATTTATATTAATTTATTTTAATTTGATAGCATGAGGTCGACCGAAGTGATTTTATTTTTTATTATGCTTGGATTATGGATTCATGTGTTTTATTTATTCAAGTACCTACCGATTTTTATGGAATGTATTGATACTTTTGTCAACGATTTTCATGCCCATTCTAACAGACGTGGGGGGTGGGCTTCCCTCGACACTCGTGATAATAAAATTACTTATGGTTGATTAATTTTATTCTAACATTGGATAATAATTATATTACTGTGAAAATTTTATCCATTTTTTGTGGTTGAAACTATTGAAGAAAAAAAAAACATTTAATAATTTTATTTGGCTTTGTTTTTATTTTACGGTTAAATAGATATAAATACTTGTATGTATGTATTTTCTAGAGTCAATTAAAATTTGTTGTTATTAAGATGCCAAAAATTTCAACTAAATTCTCAAAGAGAAATTATATGGGTAACAATAAGGAAGTTGAAGAGGCTCAACGATTGATTAATTCCATGCATGAAAAAGTATGTCGAGATTATTTACAAACTTTCAAAAAATAAATGATGTTTCAATTAACTTTACTTAAAGTCGTGTAGAATTCTCAAATGTCAACCGGATTGTATTAATACTGTTATAACAAATGATAAAATTCGTTATATTTTTCAAGATCTTGGTTTGATGATATGAAACGGTATTTACTTAACAAATCAAGAGATAGTATTGTTTTCGATAAAATTTCAAATATTTTAGGTTATTAATATTTAGTTGAGAAAAAATATAAATATCTGTAAATTTTCTTATATTAAATTATATTCTGTCTATTGAAAAGTTTTTGAATAATTAAATTATGAATTCTGGACGACTCGCTGTAATTGAAAATGGAGAAGATATCATTTTTTTAAATATCATTCAGATTTTTAAAGAAATAATTGATAAGGAAAGAGTTGAGCGTGAGAAAGAGAGAGAATATTTCAAAAAAATTATTGAAGATTTGATTAATGATATTAAAATAGAGAGGGATATAAAAGATATTACGATTAAATTTATGTTAGAAGAAAAAGGATCAATGTTAAAAAGAGATAGAGAGTATTCAATTAATATTTTATATATTTTAATATTTGTTATTTTTATTATTTTTTTAAATTTTTAAGTGAAATATTACATATTATATTTGATAAGCATCATGTGTAGGTATAAAGATTTGAGTGTAAGTAGTATTTCGATTTAAAATTACCAAACATGGTTAATTTCTTTAATTTAAATTGCCAAACATGGTTAATATTTATTGAATTGAATTTTATAGACTTATCATTTAGTAAATATACGTGTGAACACTTTTACTGTGATTTTCTATCTCATGTGATTACTTTATATATTTTAATATATTTTATAAAATTGTTATATGTTAATGTTTTTCCACAATCGAGATTTATTGTGTATATATTTGGTTAATAAGATTTTATTTGGTTTTTCCGATGATAGTATAAATAAATTGAGAGAAGGTGGAGAAATCTTCAATTGAAAATGAAAACGACAACGAGAAAAAATATCACCTGTGCTTGCAATTATTGTATTGGGAAGAGAATTCGTTGCGATAATGGAAATCCTTGCTCAGTTTGTGAATCGAAAGGTATTGATTGTGTGAGAAGAACATTATTTAAAAAACGTGGACCGAAGTCTGGACCTAGACGCAAAATGAATATGGAAAATACATCGAGAGGATGTGATATAATGAAGATCGAGTCCTTGTATGTAATTTCATACATATAATTTTATGGATAAAATTTGATTTGATGTATTTATTTTAATAAATTTATTTATAGGTTAAATTGATTAAATATCATTCTGTAAATTTTGATATGATTTTTATAAATATATTGGAGAATAAGATAAATGACGATATAGAAAATTGTTAAAAAAAATTAATTGTATCCAGTGAATATATCTAAATATTCATCAGAGAATTTGATATATGTATGATAACTAAAATTTTTCAAGTAATTTGATTCTAAAATACATTCAGGGGGTGGATTGAATTCTATGTTGTTTTTTTCACAACGAAAGAGAATGAATAATAAAACGATACTATGGTTACCTAACTTTAATTGGATGTACATTCTATTGATGTCCCTTTGAATATATGAATAAAGAAATTTATATTTTTCATCAATTTCTCGAGAATCAATGTTGATAATTTTATCCATCAATTCATTATAGATGTCAGGCTTTAGAATATTGAAGTTGTAATATTTACTTTTGTAAACATTATAATTTAAATTTTCATTATTTATCCAGTAGTATTCTTTACCACTTGGAACCCAGTGAGAGGTACCATCGTATCTATTTTTCATTAATAGTTCTTTCCGCAGTTCAGCTTTTGAATTATAAAAATCGTGAATTATTTTAGAATGAAATAAGATATATCGATCGCTGACAATAGGTATTTTTTCATGTTTTTCATTTAACTCTACAATATCTTCTTGAATATATGCAGGTCTGGTCCAGGTCAGATTGTTAGAAATGTATATTTCATCATAATATTTACGAATTTTATGTTCGTTAAAATCATATGAAGGATGAAATTCCAAATGAAGAATACGATCTTTTCTATAAGATCCACTTGCGAATTCTTGTATTTTTGAATGGATTATTTTATCAACTATTTTTGAAAAATTTTTACTGACGAGTTTTAAATTTATATAATTGAATTCAAGGGAAAGAAAATCCTCAAAGAGAATCTCTAATACGATGTGATGTATGTCATCATTCATTGTAATGATTTTTTGATAAAATTTCGGAGATAAAATAATGCGTATTTATAATTTATCTAAAGATTTTGATTCAAAATTACCAAACATGGTTAATTCTTTAAGTTTAAAATTACCAAACATGGTTAATACGATCATCATAGTTTAATCGCATAAAATAATTTTGCGATCACCATAGTTTAATCGCATAAAATAATTTTGCGATCATCATAGTTTAATATATATATATATAAGCATCTTATTTTTGAGATTACTTCAAAGAAATCAAGTTGATAATGTCTGAAAGTTACAAACGAAGAAATTCTCCTTCCCGCGAACATACGTTTATTGATTTGAGCGATCCAAATGATCTAGAAAAGCAGATCGAAGAATCGATTGTGGCGAAGAGGATATCGAAAATTGATATTCTAAAGATCTTTTTGAAATACGTAATCATTTCTCTATATATCTATTTTATTATTTTTATTTTTATCCATCGTACTCCATTTATTCAATTTGTTGAGTTTAAGGTGAATATGGATTTTTCAAACACGACTGATGAGTTCAAGGATTCATTCTTAAATATATTTAATGAATTTTCTAAAAGCTTACTTAGTAATCCACACGCTCATCTCTTTAATGTTACTTTCATTAATTCTTGAGATTTTGCGTAATTATTTTGCGATATGTTAGTAAATATGAGCATATATCCACAATTATATCTGTAGTTTTACGTGATTTAATAAATTAAATATTTTATTGATAAAATTAATTATGAATGATACATGAAATATTTTTATCGTTAGAATTTAATAAAGTAAATAAAAGAGTGAATGAGATACATATTAATAAGATATTCATTAGAAGAATGTCAACCATGCGATATCTGTGATCTTTTAAAAAATCTGAGATGTGGGATGTGATTATTGAAAAGTTAACATCTCGTAAATTGGAAATCAAAAAAATAAAAAAAGATGTATTATCGGAAGGCTTATTATTATCATCAGTTGTAATCGAGATTAATTGGTCGACATAGTATTGGAGTTCTTTAATTTTATCTGAAAAAAATCTATTTTGTTCCTTCAGTGAATTTATTTCTACTTCATATCTTTTCAATTGTTCTTCCGTTAATTTTAAATCACTTTCGAGTCGATTTTTTTTTATCCTCTCAGTTTTTAATTCTAATACCGCTATTTGAAGGTCTTGTCTTGCAGATACGAGTTGCGATTGATGGTGTTCGATGGTCTTTTGTAGAGTTCTGTTGGCATCCTTGTAGATATCATTTGAATTTCTTAAACTGGTGGTAAATTCATTAGAAAATTCAGTTTCTTTATAATATGGTGTGCTAGGTGTGCTAGATGTGTATAGAAATCTGTCTCCCATTATGATAAGATTTTGATAAGATAAAATAAAAAAGAAAAGGTGTTGTTTTTATAAATATTGGAATGGTCAGAATGCTCCAAGTTGGTCGGAGGCCCAGCGCGTAAATAAAAAAGAAAGGTGTTGTTTTTATAAAATATCAGAATGGTCAGAATGCTCCAAGTTGGTCGGAGGCCCAGAGTGTCGTCCGTCTTGAATTTTTTTGTAATTTTCAGTTAAATCTTTGCGAATTTTCGATTTTTTTTGCTCGTATAGGATGGTGTCATATGCCTTTGAAATAATGCAACAGATGACGATGAGGGTATAATCACTGTCGTGGTATTGGGTGTATGATATGAAGAAGAAACCAGCAATCATCCAGATTATATTGGTTGTCAGGTTGTGAAAGACGACGAAGAAAAGAACGAAAAAGGACATTTTATCAGCATTTTGATTTTGTAAGTAGGACACGAGTGCGATGGCAAAAATCAGGGTGAGAAAATAATGATGATTTGTCATTTTTGAGATGATTTACCATAAACGGGATCACGATTATTTTATACTTGTGCTGGATTCATAGATCTTATCCAATTTTGGATTTATTAAATAGATGTGGACAATGTCGTAAACAATACTATGAACAAACTTTTCTTGTTAAGATAGTGTGATCTTATTAATTGGTAATTTAAAATTTTGAGAAAGAGCATTCATTCCAAATAAGGATTAGTATATTTTAAATGGAATATGATGATTCGAGATTGAATGTTTATCATTTGATTCGGTCTACCTTTATTCCAATTTGAGATTGAATGACTGTGTCCATTAATATTTTTACCTGTATTCCAATTTGAGATTGAATGACTGGTGTCCATTATTTGATGTTAATATAAAATTTTTATCTGTATTCCAATTCGAGATTGAATGATGGATGTCCATTGTTTGGTATTCTTATTAGATGTTACTTGAAATCAATTATATAAGAAGGTCAATTCAACCGAGGTGGGATAAGATGTCTTCAGATCAAGTTCAATCGTTTAGTACTAGCACTTTCCTTTTAATACTTCTCTCTTTTTTCTGTCCACCTTTTGGAATACTCGCACTGAGAGGTTGCGATTCCCAATTGTGTATCAATATCTTGTTAACAGTGTGTGGTTACCTTCCAGGTAGTTATTATTTTCTTTATTATATTTTTATTTCTATTTTATTTCTTTTTATTTATAATAATTATCATAGGTCTTGTCCACGCGATTTACCTCATTACTCGTCCTCCTAAATTATCCAACGATCCCAACGGTTCTACGCCGGCATGAAAAAACTTATTTCTCTGAAAAAAATTATTTCCCTAATCGTAATCATATTTTTGCTGTTGTTCATTCCATCCATTTTATATCCACAATATTATATTATTGGGGCATCGATTGTCGTTTTTATGTCATTAGTATATATAGAATATAAAAAATTGAATAACCCAAAACCATCCAAAGGATCTTTTTTAAATTTAAAAAAGTTTATATTAAAAGCTGATCCGAAAGTTGATAAGACAAATAAGCAGAAAGTTGAGTCGAAGATTGATACTAAAACTAATGATTTGGGAGAAAGTGACATTAAGGATATTAAAACAAATAATCAGGAGGGTGGGGGAACTTTTTTTCAGAATATTAGATCAACCATTGGAGTACCTCTGGGGAAAATTAAAAAATAAGTTTTGATGTTGGTAGTCATGATTTTAACTTTATTATTTCGTTTGTATATTTTGGCGGATCGATTGTTGGATTACTTAGATCCAGATGATGATGATGATGAGATTGATCCACATCATATACATTAGATTATATTTATTTTATTTTTATTTTATATTTTATTTTATATGTATTTACTTTAAGGTAATAAATAAATTTTGAGTATAAAAATGTGTTATATTCTTTATTAAATTGTAAGGATGAAATGAAAGATTTATCCACAAAAAGATTCAGACGTTTTAATTTCACTCTTTACGAACATGTAGATGTATCATTCGTTAAACTTATAGAAGATAAATTTAACGATTCGAATAATTGTATTCAATATATTATCTTTCAATTAGAGTTCAATCATCATGCTTCAGGTACAGGTGGGCGTGTACATATGCAAGGATTCGCAATATTAAAGGATCAGATGAGAATTGGAAGATATAATCCAAAGGGTGAATTTGGATCTGGAATTAAAAATATATTTAAATCAAATAGTATTCATATTGATTTTGCAAATGGAACACCAGAGCAATGTAGAGATTACTGTCGTAAGAAATATAATCGATGTAAAAATCATGATAGATGTAAATGCGATTATTTTAATTTAGAAGAGATATGTGAAAATTGTGATGATAATTGTGTTAGAGATTTAGCTCGCGTCTGTGATGTGAATGAAGATGATACACCATCCGGACCATGGGAGTTTGGTGTTATAAGATGTGATGATCCAATTAAAAGTGATAGGCGTTCGAAGAGGAATGATGAAATTGAATGCATGGCAAAAGCAATAGATAAGATTGTGGGAGGTGAGGATATCGATGATGTACTTGTGGAATATGCACCTATGATTTCATCTCGTGTTACGGTTAATATTGATAGAATTGCAAAGGCGGTGAGTAATGTGAACAACAGATTTGAAAAACGATGTTGGGATCCATGTAATATTTACATATTTGGAACGCCTGGAACGGGGAAGACCTTCTGGACTAGTATTGTATTTCCAGATGCGTATAAAAAATCGATGGATGATGATTGGAAGTGGTGGGAAAACTATAATAATGATCATATTATCGTTATTAATGAGATGGAACGAGGGTCAGCATCCTGGAAGAATTTGCTTAATATTCTTGATCGAGTTGAAATGAGAGTTCAGGTTAAGGGATCATCGCGAGAGTATATTGGGATGTATCAAGTATTTACATCGAATACAGGATTACGGGAATTGTATGATTATGCTGACGATCATCCATATTATGAAAGATTAAATGGATTTAGATCAGTAAATAGAAAATTTTACCAAGCAATCGAAAGAAGATTTAATTTTATTATAGAGTATCGTAAAATAAGAGATGATGGTGTACGTGTTTGTGATGTGGAATGTATGTGTTGTAGAATTCAGAGAATTTTTCATAAGGGTTCAAGGGAAAAATTTCAAAAGTTAGAGTTTGATATTGAATTTGATGGAAATATAACTCGGGATTATGCATTGGAAATTGTACGAAAGTTAAATAGAAAAGGAAAGTTGTTACGATTGGGTGATAAGATTATTTGGAGAGAAGATTTTAATAATAATGATAGATATATGGTTGAAGATGGGGACGAGTTGCATTTAGATTTCATTGTGTATCCTGAGATTATAGAGAAGCTTAATAGGAAGAATCATAATTACGAGATTGAAATTATTGAGGAAATATGTGAACTGAGGGATGATAATGGAGTGCGAAAAAGAAGATATGATTTTGATGATGAGAATTCAAAAAGATTAAAAACTTCTCAGGGTGATCAGAATATTCTTTGAATTTAGAGTGAAATTTTAAGAACACTAGTTATGTTTGGTAATTTTGAACTGTCTCCCTACGATATTCTTATTAACCATGTTTGGTAATTTTGATATCTTCTTGTGATATTCCCATTAACCATGTTTGGTAATTTTGATATCTTCTCGTGATATTTCCCATTAACCATGTTTGGTAATTTTGTATTTCTTATTGACCAATGTCTGGTAATTTTAAATTATTTTTCTTACAATATTTGATATATATTATTCTCTGGTATTTAAATAACTATATAAGGGGATTGTTTGGGATGGTTTCATTTCAAGATGTCGAAGAGAAAAATAAATTTATCTCGTGATAAGGTGAGTCATTTTCTATGAACTGAAACTTCCCTCTCCTCACGAAACCGGAGGTCGATTTTTAACGGGTTATGCCGGACCAGGGTCTCTCTGTCTCCAATTACATAAATCGGCTGATTTGTGTGATCCCCGAGGCTATAGATGATACCTGGAATCATCTGAAACTGAGAACTGGCTGTGATATACATGAATCGGTCATGTTGAACAGATCGAAGGGAACGTGCGAGAAATATGATTCACCAATTCTCCGAATTGACATGATTTATTTATTTTTTAGAAGGATCGATATTATAAAAGTATTTATGAATTATTCGATAAATGGAATTTGAAAGAGAGACTTACGAAGAAGTCGAAAGATGAATTCTTTGTAAGATGTAAAAAACATAATTTTTATGTGAAATGTGTTTATAATCAAAAAGGATCAGTGAATACAAGTGTGGTGAATAAGATGATCACAAATACATTTAATTTTCGTGAAATTATTCTAATATTATGTACGGAGAATGAATTAAGTGAAAATACTCAAGATTTGATTGATAATGTGGCCAGACCCATATTTGTGACTTATAAAAGTAATTTAATTAAAAAGGTTCAGAGTTTCTTGTAAATAAACGGATTTAACGGATTTATACTTTAAATAAACACTATAAACTCTTAAATTTTGATCTTGTCAAATGTGCTCAGGATTTTTAAATGATATTTTAATAAATAACACCTCATCCAGTGCCTCGTGCACCAGGATGAGGTTTGAATGATATAATTATGGGAGTTGACAAAAGAAAAGACGTATCCAACTCTGACTCTGAATCCAAGGGATTGAAGGTTGATAAAGAGAAGTCCACTATGAAACTCAAACCCAATTCCTCTGGATCTAAGCGAAGGCGACTTGACTCTCGAGATGAAGAGGAACCCAAATCCTTGAGTAATGTGAACAACGGATTTAAAAAACGATGTTGGGATCCATGTAATATTTACATATTCGGAGCACCTGGAACGAGAAAGACTTTTTGGACTAATATTGTATTCCCGAATGCATATAAAAAATCGATGGATGATAATTGGGAAAATTATAATAATGATCACATTATTGTTATTAATGAGATAGAACGAGGGTCAGCATCCCAGACAAATTTACTTAATATTCTCGATCGAGCTCCAATAAAAATTCAGGTTAAGGGGTCATCACTCGATTATGTTGGAATGTATCAAGTATTAATATCAAATACGGGATTACGGGAATTGTATGATTATGATGGTGATATCCCATATTATGAAAGATTTTACAGGGCAATCGAGAGAAGATTTAATTTTATTATAGAGTATCGCAAAATTAGAAATGATAGTGTACGTGTTTGTAATGTTGAATGTACATGTTGCAGAATTCAAAGAATTTTTCACAAGGGCTCAAGAGAAAAATTTCAAAAGTTGGAATTTGATATTGAATTCGATGAAAAGATAACTCGGGATTGTGCATTGGAGATTGTACGAAAGTTAAATAGAGAAGGAAAGTTGTTACAATTGGATAATAAAATTATCTGGAGAGAAGATTTTAATGATGATAATAGATATATGGTTAGAGATGGGGACGAGTTGCATCTAGATTTCATTGTTTATTCTGAGATTTTAGGTAAGTTTAATAGGGATGAGTAAAAATAATCAAGAGTTTTTTTGAATAAATGGATTTATAATTCTATATAAATAAACACTTAAATTTTAATCTCGCCAAATGTGCTCAGGATTTTAAAATAATAATTCAAATTGAATACAATTTTCAACAATACCCCTACTCTTGTCTGATGGATGATATTAAAACAGTACAAGACCTGATTTGTGAGGAGATATCATCGTTTGCGAATGATCAGCTTGTTGCTTTAACCGAACATATCATGAAGAGAGTATGGAATAATAAGGTTTTAAAATATTCCACATCCTTTCGCACATACATCGAAGAAACTTTAAATGGATTATATATTACACGTATGGAACTTTGTGCGGCATTGTTCTATCTTGTAAAGGTAGAACAAAATGTTAAAAGATTAAACACGTCGATTTATTGTATACGTAGGATGTTTATTGTTGCTCTTATATTAAGTAAAAAGTACTTAAATGATTGTGGATGTCGCAATTTTAATTGGGTGAATGTTACGGGATTGAAATTACAAGAAATTAACATGTTTGAGAAAAACTTTTTGAATTTGATTGAATATGATTTATTTATAGATGAATATTTATTCTGTTCTTTTTTATTTGATATTCAAGATATTATATTTCAACATTTCAGTGATTGAGTATTAATATAATATATATTTCCGTGGATATCGAATAGTTCTATGATATTTTGTTGATTACTATAGTTATTTATTTTACACGATTCGGTAAAGTCTGATTGAATTGGTTCATTAAAGTTGAGATTACTTTGAATTGATTCATTAAAGTTGAGATTACTTTGAATTGATTCGTTCATATTAGTCTCTGTGAAATCAGATTGTAATTGTTCGTCTGTACTGTGAATCGATCTATTGATTGATTCATCAATATAATTTTCATCATTAGTTACAAGTTGAGTTGGGTTGTTGATATATTTTATCTTGTCTTTAGATTCATCTGTGTTATACATCATTCCGCCGATATTAGGTTGAATATTTTCATCATCTGTGATATAAATCGCTTCATCGGTATTATGTTGAATAAATTCATTAATATTATTTTCTCCATCAGTTTCGATATATTGAGTTGATTTATCTTCGATATTAATTGATTCATTAGATGAATGTGTGTTTTCGACAGTTTCAGTGGAATCATGTTGAGAGGTTAATTCATCATTGTTATCAATTGATGGTTCATTCTTAAAGATATTGGCAATGGAGGTAAGAATACGTTCATATTCTTCATTTTTTCTTTCCAATTTTTTGTGTGATTTTAGCAATCTATGATGTTTCGTTCTTAAGTTTCTGAGAGTAGTTAACTTTCTGTGATATTTGTCATATGGAACAAATTTTTCGTTTTTCTTTGCGAATGTGATTTTTCTAAACATGTTGTATGTATCAATATACTTAAGTAGGTCTCATATATATGTATTCGATGTTTCATCAAATAAGATTTAATATATATTATGAACCAATCGGAATTGATTTATTAAATAACATTTTGTGTATGGTGAACCAATCAGAAACTTTTAATAGATCGTGGGAATTATTAAAGTTCTTGATGGGTCGTGGGAATTGATCAGAGTTTTTAATAGTTCATGTGAACAGATTAGAGTTTTTTAAATGTTATAAATTAATTTCATAGAACCAATCAGAATACATGTGATGGGTTATAAGATTATAAATGAGATATTTGCTATAAAAGATATCTCGATCTTGGTGGTTCAGATCACAAGAAATCAAAAATTCTATTAACTTGCCAATTTTGTATTAGAAAAAATTGATTACGGTGTGACTTTATTAAGATGAACAAAGTATCCTATCACCAATTCGATCGTGTGAGGAGAAGGATGAATAATCATCTCTGCGATGAGCATATCGTGAAGAAGAATCGGGTTTCAGCAGATAGAATTGATTTTGAGAAGAGTATTGTTCAACATCGTGTACCTGATGGTAATAAGTACAAGTACGAGAGGATTCCGTATAATGATTTCTTTAAGTGTGATTGTGTGGATAAACATTTTGGATGTCGTCTCTATCGAAGAAGATGTTATACCAAATTGATTCATGGGGGATTGGTGAATATGAATCGTAAAAATTCAAAAATGATTTATAATAGATATTTACAATCATATAAACCAGACTATGTTGTTTATTTTTGGGTTAAATATTAATGTTATTTTAAAATTTTTTTAATCTCAAATGTATATTTATTACAAAATTGTGAAATGCGATTGGTATTTGAGATTATTGATATTTCCAATTTAGAATTATTAAATAGGACTAGTTTTGAGATTTAAAATTACCAAACATGGCTAGTGATCTCAATATTTAAATTACCAAACATGATTAATGCTTCAAGATTTAAAATTACCAAACATGACTAGTTTTTTCAAGATTTAAAATTACCAAACATGGTTAATACTCTCAAGGTGTTTTCAAGATTTAAAATTACCAAACATGGTTAATACTCTCAAGATTTAAAATTATCAAACATGTCTAGTGTTCTCGAGATTTAAGTTATCAAGTAATTAGTATTTCGATAAAAGTTCAAATGGATTTTTTGTCATGATGAAATTTATATAAAAGGACATGGAATTTGAGAGGGTTTTGAATCTCAACTCAAACTCGATATGACAACTGAAATAAGTGAAGAATACGTACGAGCTGTGATTGAAAACAGTCAATCTATTTACTCACTTCGAACTCCAGAAGATATACATCTGATTATGATGATAGTGGATTCTCTTCTCATATCATCTTCACGTAAATTGATGGATGTTGGTATCTTTTTGAGTGAGTATGACTCCGTTGAGAAAGAATATAATCAAGAATCTAATCACCTTGAAGGCTGGGATTATCATCATGCTGATCACGAAGAACATATTCAATCCGATGTGGAAAGACTTCCGATGATAGAGGAATCTCCATTTGAATCAGAAACTCCAGATGTGAAAAGACTTCCGATGAAAGAAGAATCTCCGGAAATTTATGATGATCTTTACGAAATGGGTGATTGGTGTGATGTATGTGAGAATTACGTTGAGGAAGAACACATTCATACGTTTTGCTCAGAGTGTGCCCAGATTGTGGAATCCCATAAAAACGGGGCGTATATAAACGAGTGTATCTGTGATTTCGTACCAGTGATTGATTATTTTAACTCGAGAGAAGAATTGAGACGGTTTTTTTTGGTAAATAATACTCAAGGTTTGTGTATATTTTGTGAAAATGGTTGCTCAGATGAATTGTGTACGTGTGAGTTTACATGTGGGTTGAAATATGTGATGGGGTATGATAAATATGGAAAGGTTAAATATAGTACATGTGGTTGGTATTCTGATAATTTAAAATATGTTGAACACGATTGTCAAGGTGGAGTTCATCGTGGATTCGATTGTATTGATCATTCTGAATAATATTAATTGTATATTTATATTTTAATAAATAATACCTCATCCAGTGCCTCGTGCACCAGGATGAGGTTTGAATGATGTAACTATGGGAGTTGACAAAAGAAAAGACATATCCAGTTCTGACTCTGATTCTGAATCCAAGAGGTTGAAGGTTTATGAGAGACGAGATGGTGAAGAGGAATTCGTGGAGCTCGAATCCAAACCATCTGGATCTAAACGAAAGCAATCTGACTCTCAAGGTGATAAAGAGGAACCCAAATCATCAGGATCTAAAGGAAGACAACCCAATCCTCGATTATCCCAAAAACGGATCAAGAATTCGGACAAGCTTGATGAGGAGATGATTAATAGGATATTGTTATTGGGTGATGATAATATAAAAGAATTTTTAAATTGCGAAAAATCTTATCAACTTTCTAATTTGGTTGATGGAATTGCATTCGATATCATCAAGACCGAGAGTGATGATTGGGAAGAAAAAATGAGTGTGCTTCAATTGTATATCAAGATTAAACGTGAGATTTATTCGATTATCGAAAGGAATATTCCAGATAAAACTCCGGATGTTTGTACATGGTTGGTGAAAGTTTATCAAGGACCGTCGAGGGGAATGATGTATGAGGATTTTAAGCTTCAAAAGTGGTTATCTGAAAATTCCAATGTAAATAACGATTGAATGTCACATGATATTTTGAAATTTTATTTGATATAAATAAAGCAAACCTCATCCAGTGCCATGCGCACCAGGGTGAGGTGTTTCTTTCGTAACTTGAAAAATGTCAGACCGAAAATCATATGCTTTGTATCTCTTTTTTATTTCGGATAGAGATGTTATTCTCAGGAGTTATGATGAATATTATCATCATGATTTTCATCAATACTGTCCCGATTCATCGTGTAAAACAATGTGGGATACGGTTTATGGATATCCATATGTCTACGAGAATGATGAAGAAGCGGTGGTGAGATTAACGAAAGATCAATTTGGTATCGAACTCGATTTACGAGAAATCGAATATTTATTCGATGATGTGATGTATAACAAATTTTATATTTGTGATACACGAATGTTTAATGTTGATGGATCAAAATATCAGAGAATCACGTCTCAGAATTATTTAAAGTTTGAAGATAGTGTTGATTTCTACGTTCATTTGGCATTAGGAACGGATATATTTAAAAAATTAGATATAAGAGAGGAGGAGAGAAGGACAAGAGTGGAGAAATGTGCTCGTAGATTGAAACGAATGGGAATTGATCAAAGTCTTGTTATTAATTATAAAAATAGGGTTAGGAAATCGAGACATCGAAAGCCGTATCAAAAATCATAAATTAGATTTAATATTGATAAATTTTATGTTAATAAATTCTGACCTCGTCTAGTGCTTTAAGCACCAAGACGAGGCATTCTTTAGGTAAATTTGTGAAAATGTCAATATCAGCATATGAAAAAGGTGAGTGTGCATCGATGATGCTATTTTGATAAGGTACACCCGTCGGGTCCCTTCCACCCCCCGTGTGACCATCGGGATGGGGGGTTAAAATTGTCTCTGATAATGGCGAGATGTTGACACTCGCAATCATTTATTCTTAGGAAAGGAATTTGAGAATAAGATATATTCCACCTTGAATAAAAATGCGAAATTTAATGTTAATTTGACGAGAAGCGTTCAAGGTGATGGGGGGGTTGACTTGATTCTGTTTTATCAAGATATGACTGTTTTTATTCAATGTAAAAATTTTGCATCGAAGGTTGGTGTGAGTCATGTGAAAGAATTTATAACAACAGTTGAAACAAATGGGAGTGAAAAAAAATTGGGTTTATTGATATCATCCAATGGTTTTACAAAACCCTGTTACGATCACGAGAATCATAATTTGATTCTTCTAACTGAGAGGGACGATATATCGAGATGTATTATTTCTCATTATCAGATGTATGACTTATATGATAGAAAGAAGGATTTGAGATTGAATGTGAACATGTTAAAATTAGACATACATATGAGTGTTGGATATGTGATTATTAT